GGAATTCTCGGGACCCTCAATTCCTTAGGGATGGGCTAATCAAATGGCCAGTATCATCTCTTCCAGAAGTGCCATGACCTGGATGAAGCTTATGCGGAGAAACGAAGTTTCTATCCTTTCTATTTTAATCCCATTCCCCACCCCCCACCCCCCATCCAATCCGGAAGTCCCCGTACGCTTCCGTAACCTGGGTGACCGGCCACCCTATGGGGCATGCACGGTTCTAGGACCCACATGGGAGTCCCGCCCACGAGTCCGACTCCAATTCCGTGCCAACTCCATCACCTACAAGCAGGGGACACAAGACCTCCAAAGCAAGGTAAGCACAGGCTGACTGGTGCTTGCTTACTTTCTGGGGTGAACGTTGATTCAGCTGCCTGAGGCCATGAGGCTGCCCCCTTTCTGCACAGAGGGGTGCCCGCGACAGGTTGCCAAATAGAGGGCCATCGGGGGCTCCCTTTGCACGGGGTTGCAGCCCACCAGCTCTCTGAAAGGCATTACATCTTCGCGTCCGCCGCCCGTGGAACGCGCTGGACGCGGGACCAGGCGGGACCTGTCCTGCCCCCCTCCCCGCCCCTCCCCGTCCAGGGCTGCAGGTGGTTTCCAACCCCGACGTTCCATCGCCGCCCTCAAGTAACAATGGCCAGGGGTGGCCGGCCTCCCGGCTTTGGGGTTCGTCGGGGGCGCGGCCCCTCCCCCTCGCGGTCCGCCTCTCCTGGCCCCGAAACCTCCTCCGCCGGGCCCGGAGGCAGCCCGCTCGTCCCGCCCTCAACCGCCCTCCCGCAAGATGGCGACCAACCGCCTCCACAGAAGCCAGGCCTGGCAATCTACAAGGGGCCTTCTAAAAGTTCATGGGAAATGCATGTTTTGAAAAAAAAAACGATGCTTAGATTTAAAAAAAGAGTATTTGTTCCAAAATAAACTAAACTGTAAAGGCATCCTGGTGGCATAGTGGGTTATTTGTTGGGTGGCAAACTGCAAGTTCAAAACCACCAGCTGCTCTGAGGACGGCAGATAAAGCGATCCCTTCCCATAAAGATGTCCAGTCTTGGAAACCCCAGGGAGCAGTCCTACTCTTGTCTAACTGGCTTCCTACGAGTCAGAGTGGGCTCCATAGAAGTTTGTCTGTTTTTAACTTGGTGCATAACATGTCCGTACAGGATGGAGTTGGAGGCAATAAGAAGGCTAAGACATCCGTGTGAAAAAAAGCACCTGTCAGAGCAACATGGTTTCTGCTGACACAGAAGCAAGAATGAACATTCAAAAACTGAAAGGAAGGTGAAATCACTAAGGCTTTTATGGGGAGAAAAAAAATCACAGGGACAGCGCCCCCCAAGGAACCAGCCGTTTACAAATGGATAATCCGTTTTAAGGCTGGAGGCGCTATTGAGGATGAAGCCCACAGTGGTACACTATCCACATCAATTTGCAAGGGAGCGATCTGGCTGTGTGTCCTAATTGAAAAGGACGTGCGACGAACAGCAGAAACAACAGCCAACCGCAGACGTGGCAATTGTTTCAGCGTACACAGTTTTGACTGAAAAATTCAAGTTGAGCAAACGTTCCATTCAGTGGGTGCCAAAACGGTAGCACCCAGATCAGCTGCAGACAAAAGCAGCACTTTCAACAATGATTGGCAACAAGCAAGCGGGATCATGCTCCCAAAACATTTCTTGAAAGAATTGTAGGAGATCACACATGGCTTTACTAGTACTGTGTGGTTTTAAAAAAAAACATTTTATTGGGGGCTCGTCCAACTCATCACAATCCATCCATCCATCCATGTGTCAAGCACATTTGGGCATTTGTTGCCATCATCATTCTCCAAACATTTTCTTTCTACTTGAGCCCTTGGGATCAGCTTCTCATTTTTGTCCCTCCCTCCCATTCTCACCCTTGATAATTTATAAATTATTTTTTCATGCCTTACACTGATTGATGTCTCACTTCACCCACTTTTCTGTTGTCCATCCCTCTGGGAGTTATATGTAGATCATTGTGATCGGTTCTCCCTTTCTCCCCTCCCCTTTCCCTTATCCTCCTGGTATTGCTACTCTCATTATTGGTCCTAAGGGGTTTACTGTCCTGGACTCCCTGTGTTGCAAGCTCTTATCTGTACCCGTGTACATCCTCTGGTCTAGTCAGATTTGTAAGGTAGAATTGGGATCATGATAATTGGGGCGAGGAAACATTAAAGAACTAGAGGAAAGTTGTATGTTTCATTGGTGCTATACTGCACCCTGACTGGCTCGTCCCCTCCCCTCAACCATTCTGTAAGGGGATGTCCAGTTGCCTACAGATGGGCTTTGGGTCTCCACTCCACACTCCCCCTCATTCATGATATGATTTTTTTT